GGGTGCGACACTGAGGGTTGCGATCCCATGGCCGGTCCCGGTCCGGTACAGGTACGACACTGAGGGTTGCGATCCGTAGCCGGACACAAAAAAAGACAAAAAGGAAAAAAAAAAAAAGAAAACTTTCTGCTCTTCAAATCAAGGTCTTCTCAGTAAACACCTTTCTCCTGTTGTTTTGCAGTAACTGATATGAAGCTGGCTACCTTGGAGAGAGAGATAAGGGTCCTGAAATCAGAACTGGACCGCACCAAAAAGTGTAAGCTTTTTCTCTGTCCCCAGGTGTTCCTGGCTCTCGGTTTTTCTTCAGAGTCCTCTAGGTTTTTAGGAGGGTGGAAGAGAACCAACACTTACAAAGTCTTACAGTACAGCAGGTTGACATTTTCTTGTAATGTGCTTTCATTCAATCCTCCCGCCAACCCTAGTCACGGTTATTACATTTGTTTTATTGACGGTGAGGGAAGAGAGGTACGGGGAGTGCAGGTAACTCATCCAACATCACACAGCTAGGAAGTCGCAGAGGAAGGAGTAAGTGGAGGTCTCTTGTCTCCAAAATCTTTGCTCCTTCCTCAGCATGCACTGTTCTCAGGTGGCTGCCCATGCCTCTTCCTTATCCTGGTGCCCAGGTCTGGCAGGGAGGCCCCAAGCATATCCTCCTATGTCCACGGGTGCTGGGGAAGTTTTTAACTGATGTTTATCTCAAGGGTGGGGTATCCCAGGAAAGTCCAGGCTGTCTGCAGGGGCTGGGTATCCCTTCCCCGGCTCTGCCATAGAGGCTGCTTCCTTACCAGGCTCCGGCCTAGGGTGGTTGGGCACAGGGATATTTTCGAGAGTCCTCCGTTCCCAGAGGAGGCCTTTTTGATGACTGTTGAGGGCTGGGCTCCAGACCCCATCAGCTTCACCTAGCCTTTGTGATTCCAGTGCAAACCTTCTCTTTGGGCAAAAAAGCTGGGAAGAAGCTCTACATGACCAATGGTGAAAAGATGCCTTTCCCCAAAGTGAAAGCTCTGTGTGCTGAGCTCCAGGCCACTGTGGCTGCCCCCAGGAGTGCTGAGGAGAATAAGGCCATCCAGGACATGGCCACAGACATTGCCTTCCTGGGCATCACAGACGAGGTGACCGAAGGCCAGTTTACGTATGTGACAGGAGGGAGACTGACGTACAGCAACTGGAAGAGCGATGAGCCCAATGACTACGGCACAGGGGAGGACTGTGTGATCCTCCTGAAGGACGGGCTCTGGAATGACATCTCCTGCTCGTCCTCCTTCCTGGCCATCTGCGAGTTCCCAGCCTGAAAATGGGGGTCCTCAGCCCCGTCCTTGGCTCCCTGCTGAGCTCTCTGCTGCTTTGAAAGAGAATCCAATGCTGCTTTTCCCATGCCCAGTGTTGAGTCTTGCCTTCATGGGGATGAGAGGAAGATGAAGGGGACACATTTGATTGTGGGATGAGGAAGTGAAAAGAGGCTGACCATGGGGCACAAAGATTCTAGTCCAGCCATGACAAAGGCCACCTGCTGTCCTGCTAGGAGCACAGCACTGAGTCAGACTCAGCCATGGAAGGGCCAAGTCAAACCCTCTCCTTTCACAAAGAGGCCACTGCAGCCTGCCGGGGGGACCAGTGAAGGGCCACACCTGTGTCAGAGTAGGCAGTAGGTCTCAACCACCAGGAGATCCAACTCCTTTTCTCCAAGAGTCGCCACTACTACTTGATGCCACACTCTTCTCCCAAAGCTCCTTCCCATGGCTAGCCCAGCCTCCCTGTGGCACAGGTATTGCTTCTAGTTGTTCAGAAGCTGCACAGAAAATCTTTCACTAGCTGATTGTAACATCCGGCAAGATCACACGTGGGTAACAATTATTAGTCCAAGGAATCCCCTCACCCTGCCCAAGTAGCTGTGGCCTCTTTTAGTCACTAGAGTGACCTTGAGGACAAAGAACAGCCTTTCCCCCTGCATAATACTGTGGTGTGTGCCAGCAACAGGGGAGGGGCAGTGGTCATACAGGGGGTGTCCTCCTCCACAGGGCCTCGTCAGTCCCTGTACCCTCCCTCCACTGCACCATCCTCACCCCGTTAGAGGTCAGTGGGCCCACTAGCAGCACAGACCAGAGGAAAAAGTCCCCAAAGGTGAACTTCACACCCTGTGGGTCAAACTCTGCAACCCTAGACGGGCAGCAAATGAAATCTCTACTCGAGCAGGGTTCTGATGCAGGCTTGGTCCACAGTTCTGCTCACAACCGTGGGTGTTTTTCAGCTATCTGGGGGTGGGTGGATCTGAGATTACATAGAGCCTATACAGCACACTAGATGAACAGAACGAATTCCAGCTCCAGCTGTATGCCACTGACAAAATGAGACTGGAAAATATTTAATGAATGGGCCAAGGGCCACTTTAACTTAGTTTTTGTTAACCTTAGTTTTCTACTTTATTTCTCTTTGTATCTGAACTACCAGGAAAAGCACTTCATAATTAATAAGTACTTGATGAATACTTGTCGCATGGGTACATCAAAAAATTACAAATGGAAGAATGGGTTGGAGACCAAGAAGTGAGTGTCAGGCAGTTCCCTCTCCCAGGGGCGCTCCTTCTATAGGACTGTCAGGGCAGGGGTGGGAACTGGGCTGGGATGTGCTGCAGGTGCTGGGGCCAACAGGCTGAGGGTGGCAGGGCCTGCATCCTTGGCCTCTGGCATGCCTCGACTGTCACATTACTGAATGTTCAATCCCCCAAGGCTCTTCTTCATGCACCACACTTGGGGACAAGGAGAAGAGGGTTTCTGTGATGCAGAGCAGAACAATCCACCACTTGCAATTGAAATCCATACTGCTTACTGAAGGAGCAGGAAACTAGTTAAAATTTAGAAGCACTCGTGAAACTAGGGGTTATGGCAACTAGAAAAAGAAAAGACCAGAAATGTTTCAGAAGGAAAGAAGATACACATATGTGACGGCCCAGAACTAGCGAATTACTGTGATCAAGCACAGGAGTTCCACCTGAATCCTCACAGCCAAGGTGAAAACCAGAAAACCGGCAGGTAACTCTGATATAATTCTTTCTGTTTTTACGGTAAGGGGGAGTTGCAGTGGTCTACCCTGAGATTAATGTGTCTTTTTATACTGTGCATAAAGGACAGCATCTTCAGCCGTAAAACTGTATATGATACAGTTATGTGCCCCACATGGACTGTTTCTCAGTGTGGAATGATTGCCCCCTCGGTTAGGGAAACGTGACGAAAACTTCCAGGGCGAGCTCCGATTCTCATCCCCTTTTCAGGCTGCTTCTAGTCCTTCCTTCTGTGGTACTCCCTTTTTCCTACATCCTTCAACCATGAAAGGCTCACGTTCCTGCTCTGAGAGCTTTCTGTGCCACACAGGACTCCGCCCTCCTCCCCCCAGCTCATAAGCCTCCCCCAGACCCTGCCACTTTGGAGATTCTTACTCATTCTCTCTCCTCTCAGCCCACCTAGCACGGCATGAGGCTTCTCCACAGGCTCCTGGATAGGTGGGCTTGTTCTTTTCTTGACAATCTTTTTTGAGCTCCTGTCTCTACAGGTGATGCTGGAGGAAGGGTCTGAGAGGCCTGATAGTTGGCTTCAACCCACCCCATCTTCTTACCATGTTCTAGACTCTGACCCAGGTAAGAATGCAAGAGCAGAGTCACAGTAGAGAGTGAGAACAGATTTAATATAACAAGACATACAGATTTCACAAAGAGAGTGTGGCCTAGCTCCAGAGACTGGGCAGGACCCACACCAAGTCTAACACAAAAGTAAGAAATATACGCTTAAAGTTCAGTGCAGGCTGGCTCAAAAGACTGAGCAGCTGCTTGCTGAAGATAAATTTGATACAAAAGAAAGCATACACATGTCAGCCAGCGAAGTGCAGGTTGGCCCCTGGAAAGTGAGCAGCAACTCCACCTTCCGCTGAGATTCGGCTTGTATAGTTTCACTATCTAATGAATATTCAGTTAAGGGGATGGTTGCACCCCCTTAACATAGTCTTGCACATGCTCAGTTGGTGTTCTTTTGAAGCACATTCATTGGTCAAATTCTGTCTCATGTACCAAACATATTCAAGAATATTCTGTGCTCCTTAGCATCCTAAGTGGAAGGTCATTCAGCTACCATGATTATATAACCCGTCTCTACTGCACCTGCCCAGACACTGGATTTGCATAAGCCAGCCCCCTGAGGTCTCAATTTCCCCATGTTGGTGCCCAAAACAGATCTAACTAGCAACAGTAACTTTCCTCTAGGGAGGGCCCAGAGGAGAGGACTGAAATATTGGGGAATGGCTTGAAACTCAGAAGCATGTCCTGTAACCTGAGCCCAGGGAAACTGAGCACCTCCTGTCTCCTATGTAACCCCCTGCCACCATTCTTCCTTCAATCTAGAGCTGAGACAAACTACCTCCCTATCTTTATTTCCCAATTCATACCACAAGCAATGGGGCCCCCATGAAAATTAGCATGGGAGAAGGTGGAGTTAATCTAAAAATACAGGATTCTCATTAGAGTCCAAAGACAGAAATTGCAGTTCATCCAGGCCTCTCAGGACACACACACACACATTCTCTCTCTCTCTCTCTTTCTCTCTCTCTCTCTCTCTCTCTCTCTCAGGATGAGGTCAGGCAGTTTCCTTTACTAAGGAACATACAGTGATTGGCGTCTCTTACACAGGGGATCAAAGGAAGCCAGGAGCTTAAGGGCCAGACCTCCAGGGCCACAGGCAACACATTCCCCTTGGAACTTGAGGGGTGGGGATGACTGAGCAACCTCTTGAGCCCCATTGTTTGTTCTAATGGAGTCGGTGTCTCTGCCATTCATTTCCCATGCTGGCTTTTGGACCAGGGAGCTGGCAGACATCTCTGAGCTGCAGTCTTCCTTTGCTGCTTCTTATGAACAGTGAGAACTTGAAGGTGATGCCTCAGAGCATTCCTGGAAAGAAAGCTGGTGTTCAGAACTCTGTGCAGCCTGGGCAGTGGCTCAGAGCCATGTCAGGGGGAGCAGGCCTGGATCTGACCTAGAGTGGCAAATATACCTTGCCCTTGAGATGGGACTTTGGGCTTAAATTAACTCTGTACATCAGTGCTCTGTTGTGGAAATATAGACACAGCCAGTGCGATCACAATTTGCTTTCTATGTCAGAATAAAAACAACTACCATACCTCATGACATTTAAGGCCTAGGCTCTGGCCTGGTTTCTGAATCCTGGACTTAAGGACCTTGTTCCTTCAGGACAATCTTTTTTTGGAGTCCAACAGCTCTGCTGCTGTCACTTTTTTTTTTAGCCATGCCCAAGCCGGAGGAAGAGGACTTAGGTCCTAGTAGTTACATCCCTCAAACCTCCTGTCTGCCTAGGACCAGCCAACCTCCTTTCTCTGTGTCTGTCAGAGACCAACAAGCACCAGGGGTCACAGTCAGGCTTTGGACTTGACCCCTTGGTATTTGTGTCATGGCAGAACCTTCCACCTGGAAGGTTGTTTGCTTGTTATTGTGTAACTGATCTGCACTTTGGAAACTGCCAGGAATCAGAGATTTTTTTTCATTAACTAGGAAGGGACTGGATGTAATCAAGGGGCCTGAGTTGGAGATGTCAGGAAGTTGATTGCGTAAAGTGATGTCCTAGTAACCCTGAGTGGCTGCCGGATTGCTGGAAAGAGGGGTGGAGCCCAGGGCAGGGGTCCATCTGGGAAGGGGTGCTCCCAACCCTGGTGGTAACCTGTGTAGGGAGGAGACAGTATTTCCAACTATGAACCAGTGGTTTGTTCAGGCAAATACAGTTATCAGGCTTAAAAGAAGTGTTGTGCAGGCAGCCACTTATTAACTGAAAATATGCTTTGGGCTAGGCTAGCCACTGCCAACCCATGGTCCAGCCTGCCCTTTCTGGGCAACCAGAGTGCTTGTGCCATCTCATACAGCTCTTCAGAGCAGTGACCAGTGGAACTGACTGGAATGCTTGGCAAAAATCATAGGATCTTGGCCTCATTCTGGGTCCAGTAAATTAAAATCCAAGAAAAGTGTCATCTTAGTGAAGTCCACAGGTGATCCATATATTTGGCCAGTTTTTGAAACCAGTGCTTCAGGAACCCCAGCCACTATAGTGGCTTTCTGCCTACCTCTCATCACCACAAGGCAGCCCTAGAGCCTGAAAGCCAGGATCTATCCATTTCTTGTAGGCCCCTCATGAGGTAAAGGGGGTTCTGCTTAACTTCATAGTGTAAGACCCCAAATAATCTCCCTCAACTGAACATGCCTCACGAACAAAAACCAGCTGCTAACCCCAATCCTTCCCTACAC